CTAAACTGTCACATACATCACATGTATTTATACACACACACACACACACCAGTGCATGGAGTAAAGTTTCACCTGAGGGTCTGGCGTTTTTTTCCTCTAAACAGCACAGGATTCATATTACAACAAAATGATTAATCAATTCATACAATTTAGCAAATGCAGAAGAAAAAAACAAACAAACAAACAAACAAATGAAAGCAACTTGAATCCCAAACAAACTCGGCAAAAGAGGAACATTCAATGCTAATAATGAGCGAGTGCAAAACACACCGGTAGGTTGGGAATGTTGGAATGTCAGTGTCATCACAGGACAGGGCAAACTGATGGCGGAGGAAAGAGACAGGAGGAAACTTATCCAATTACCGGACATAAGCCCAGGTTAATGACATCATATAACGATTATAAGCGTGGTCTTTTCTCATTCCAGCAGAGTTGCATAAATCAAACAGTGACAAAATCTATTGGAATCCATTTAAAGTGGAAAATGAGAATGGCAAAAAAAAAAAAAATCATTTCAAGTTCAAAGGATGCCATCGATTGTACGATGGGGGGTGAGGAAAAAAACAGAAAAAAACAAAACAAACAAAAAACAAAAAAAACCTAACTCGGACACTGCAGAGACCATGTGCCCAGGTGTGGTAGTGCATGGCATACGTATCCACCGGGAAAAGTTTCCGAAAATGCAACCAGTCTTCCACAAACGTTGAATAAACTGGTGCTACACAGGAGAACAAGAGCTTGAGACCTCACCTGATGTGGAGTCACTGGCGTAGGAAGGCAGAGGCGGGTGCAAAAAGAGGTAAAAGACAAATATCTAAAAGGACACCAATCTCCTGTGCAAGTTTAGCACAAACTGTCATTCAGTGCTTTACATAAAGTGTTGAATTATCTGACAATGAAACGGCTTGCAGCAGTCTCCCATTTCCTTACTATAGTAAGAACATCAGTTTTTCTAGCGCTTTCAGAGAGCGCTAGAGTCTTAGAATAAAAGTCACACTTGGATCACAGATTTGCATTAAGACTCTTAAGTCTTCCTATGATGAACATGGTTTTAGTCTCGTGCCTGTCTCAATTAAGCCAGTACAGCAAACTGAAATGTAGAGACAAAAAAAATCATCAATAGCCACTTAAATTAACAATGACACCACACTCAAATTAATGTTTATCCGACAAAAAAAAAAAAAAAAAAAAAAAAAAAAACCAAAAAAAAAAAAAAAATTTTTGATCCCCGCGGGGGGTTTGGGGGTTTTCCCCACCGACTTAAAAGTTTT